TTCGCGAGGCGTATTCGATCATGTGTTCGCAATTGTCCTTCCCCTTCTGGGCCAAAATAGCGGAGATCGCCTCAGGCTACTAGTCTGTAATGAGGATGAATTGCTTACCCGGATCCGACCGAATCAAAATAGGCGAGGAGGCAATGGCCTCCTTTAAGGTGTCAAAGGCCTTCTCGCATTCCTCGTCCCACTTCAGTGGCTGGTCCTTTTGTAAAAGACTCGTCACAATTCGGGTGATTGCTGCAAACCCCTTGAGAAAACGTCGGTAATTCGAGGCCAGCCCCAGGAAGGCTCGAACTTGTGTCAACGACGTGGGTGTAGGGGCTTCTCAAACCGCTTCAAATTTTCTCAAATCTGGCCACAAACCTCCTCGTGTGACCACGTAGGCAAGACACAAGATTTCCGAACGCAATCTTGAATCCAGCATTCCCAATGCCCCAACGTCCATTCAATATGCTGAGCATGTCCGTCAAACGATTCAGAATACACCAAAATATAGCCATGTATACAAGGACGCCGAAGTTGATCATTCCCTCGGTCAGTCGGGTCTTGTTGACGAAGTTATGAAAGGTGATGTTCATCGCTCTTTGAAAGGTAGCCGACGCATTGTATATTCCCATAGGGCAACGAACCCACTGCCACACTTTTACGTACCTTCGAACAATACGAACGCCGTTTTCGGGCGATCCTCCTCCTTAGCCAGGATATGATGGAACCCATGGTGGATATCAAACTTACTAAAATATCTGGCACACCCAATCGCATCCAACAGATCATCATCATGGGGAGGGGGTACACATCCTTGATCTTGATGTCATTCAACTTCCTATAATCGATGCATATGCGAATCGACCCATTCTTCTTCGGAACTAGAACTTCGTGGAATGACCATGGTGCAACAGCTGACTCAATCCAACCGTTAACTTCGAATTCCCTGATTCGTTCCAAAGCTGTTTTTTGTTCCGTGAGGGAGTACCGGTATGGCTTGCAGTGGATTGGTGGGTGTGTTTCGGTTTGGATTTCGTGCTAAATAACTAACGACAGCCGAATATTTGTGTTCTCGACGCTAAACGCCCCTTGATATTCGGTCAGGATATCTGCGATTAGTAGATGAGTTTCGTCAGGCACATACTGGGGCACATGTAGTTCATAGAGTTGTCCGTGTATGTTAACCGTCACCTGTTTCGTACCCATTTTACTATCATTCCCCGGTAGAGGGGCCGAGATAAATGTGTTGTCCAAAAGTCAGGAGAACACCATGACGATCATCTTGGCGTCTTCTTCCCGGATTGCCACGTGTTTTTTTGGTGTTACGCCGTCGTTGATGTCCTGCAAGCTTATAGGTTTCTCAGCGATCTTGATCCCGAGATGTGAGGGTTGTCACGCCCAGGGGGTTCTAAAGTTCCGTCTTCAACGCCCTATCGCCTGTGTGTCCATTCAACTAGCAATGGGATTTTTTTAACTCCGTTGTACCTGTTGAACGCGCACAAGTCCTGAGTTGAATCCCCGTTGAACGATTCAACGGCCGGTTTCCGTTGAACTCGGTTCAACGGACCACGCGCAACGGCTGTCGGGCACGAGGCGCCGGCGACGTGAAGCAAAAACAGGGGTTTGTGTCCGACCCTGTCCGTTGTATCCCCGTTGAACCCGTTGAATCCCCGTCGAACGGCTTCGTCGTTTGACGGGTAAGCCAACGACGGGGGCTGCGCACGCGGCTGCGGCCGCATCGCCGTGCGCTGGAGGTCCCCCTTGCTGTGATTTTCATGTCTGTGTGTGTGTGTGCGTGCCTGCTGCTTTGCATGACTGTCTGTGTGCTTGTTGGTTGAGTGTGTGTGACCCGCAAGGGTACTTGTTGTTTGCAAGGCCCCGCAGGGCCAGTACTTACCTGTGGCAGTGACTGTCAAGGTTGAAGGGGGGGTAGACAGTCAAGTAGCGGGGGTAGGCCCGCAACACTTAGAGCAGGGGGGAAACACTCGAGTAGCAGGTAGGACGGTACCACTCGAGTAGTGGTATGAGTGTCGTACTGAAGGCCGAGCAGAAGAACACAAAAAGTTGGCATTTTTAGAGGCCCAGTAGCGGTAGGTTGTAGGTTAGAGGTAGGCCGGTACCAGTCCAAGTAGCCCGGGTCTAGGGCCTGTTCGGAGGATAGCAGAGCCTGCAATGATGTTTCCCTACGAAAGGGAGGAGGTACCGGTTGCTGGGAGGCCGCTCGGCCTAGGAACTCACCGCCCAGGAGGCCAGTAGGCCGCTATATCTCCAGGAAGAGCAAAGAGCTCTTCGTCATTTGCGGTGTGCAAGGATTGGCGACATGCTGCTGGAGCACAGCGCTGGAGGTACAACGCTGCTTGGAGGGAGAAGGGACCGCTGGAGCTCAGCCTGGCTATGGTGAGGGGCATGGTAGGAGAGTGTTGAGGCACTTACCTGGCTATGGTGGACACTGTCTTCATCACCTTGTTGGGCGCTGCATCCGGAAGGCCCCAGTTGGGGTAGCGCTGCAGCAAGGAAGCTCAAGGCAGAGTCAGGCATGGCGGACCAGTCAGCAGCGGCATAGCTGCTCTTGGGTTGTCCTTTGGACATCGGCAGCACCATAGCTGCTTTGGGTTGTGTTTTGTACAGGAGGGCAGGGCCCTCATCAGTCCGCCATAGCCTGTGCATGAGAGGGAAGGTTGAAGGAGGGAAGCCATAGCTATGGTGGGCTTGTTGTTGTTGTTGTCGTTGTTGTTGTTGTTGTTGTTGTTGTGGAGTTGAGTCAGCAGTAAGAGGGAACTTCGGATATTGATTCTGGTTCATCCATTCATTGTTATTATTATTATTGAGAGAAGAATAAGATTGGTGAAGTGAAGGAGGAGGAGGAGGTTGGAGAGAGAAGGGGGGAATTGTCATTGGTCTTGCTGGTGTTCTTCTTATCTTCTTCTTCTTTTTCTTCTTTTTCTTCTTCATCTTCTTCTTCTTCTTCTTCTTCTTCTTCTTCTTCTTCTTCTTCTTCTTCGTCGTCGTCGTCTTCTTCTTCTTATTTGTCTTCTTCTTCTTCCCCTCTCTTCTCTAGTCTTTATCTCTTTGCAAGTGTCTTCATTTCTTTCGCAATAGGGTGGCATTGTCTTTCATTGTGAATTGCACTTGGGAAACGACCAGGATCGTAACAATTGAATGATTGTTGGAGGAGGGCTGCCCAGACACACAAACACAAACTCCCACACACACACACACACGCACGCACGCACGCACAGACACACACACACACACACACAGACACACACACACACACACACACACACACAAGAATAACCGCATAGAAGAACATGAAACTACAATGAAAACAAAGTATTCATGAAATGTCATAAAAAAGTCATGCCGAAGTGCGGGGGAAGTCGCATATAGGAGTCCAATATGAAATACATCTCACATGGTACAATGTGTCGTCGACACTCGTGCCGAGTCGCACAAGGCCGTACACCGATGGGATGCAGCCTACACCGCTAACTAACAAAGCTGAAAATAAAACCCTAACAAACATCTACGTAAAATGACAAAGATAGAATGAAGTCCAACCTCTAACAAAAACCCAATAACTAAAAAACAATATGAAAACGCCGTACATAAACCGAAAAACGAAACTAACAAACATTGTCGACGACACTACCTAGTCTACCTGCATGCTGAAGTCCATGAACTGGTCCAAAGTCCCTAAAACCGAACTATATGTACATCATCCTAAATTATATACAAAAACGTCAGAACACTAAGCACAAACAACATAAAGGCATCGTGGAAGCACTAGAAGGGGAACGAAGCTGTCAATACCGTCAACTTCCCTTCCCCTTACCACTGCCTCTCTGCCTCGCCCCACTCGTGCTGCGTGTCGACGAAACACTCCCTCGCCCCGGCGCTGTCGCAACGGATGACCCTCGCCTCCTCCGACTCCTCGTCTCCCGCCGCCCTGGAGGGGACGGGTCGTCTACGTCATCATGTCCTTTACGAGAGCCACGTCGTCTACAAGAACCATGCCTCGGTGGAGGGGAGGGCTTGTCGTCGTTGTTGTGGTAACTGTCATCATCCCCGCTGTCCCTCTCCTCCTCCTCACGCTCCTCGTCGTCCCTGTACTCGTCACCCTCCTGTGTGGGGCCTCCTCACGTGTAGGCTCCGTCTAGGGATCGTCCTCCACCACGGTCACATGGGCAACCCCGTCCTCACCCGAACAAGCCTAGCACTCACCTGAGTCACCTCTGCGCATGTCTTCTTACGACGAGAACCGTGCGACATCTCCAACCCCTCGGCTCCAGAAGACTCCTCCAACGCGGCATCCCCCGTGGCAGGCATCATCTGAGGCATGAAACTCGTACAAGCGACTCCGCTCCTGCGCGATGTCTGCTCACGCACAGCACGTGCCGCTGCTGCCAAAGCAGGCCTGCAAGGTACCCCCGGCCTGTCCAACCCCGTGAACATCTCGCGGCTGAGATATTGCCGCCATGACCTCCCTCGGCGCACCCCTCCCGGTGTCAGCCCCACCCAAACGTAGCTACTGTCATGCAGTGTGCACTGTGACCCGACGTATGGAGTCCAGGTCGATATCCATCCTCCCGAATAGCGACGTGTCAAGAGGGAGGCTCCCTACGACCGTCACGTCACGAACCCTGGGTCTGGTGGGCGTGGATGGTGAACGGGGGGGCCGACCGACTGGTGTCGAGGGGGAATCACTGTGACGTGATCTCGGAGGAGGAGGCGGCATAAGTGGTCTGCTAGGGTCGGTGTCCTCCCGCCGCGTCACGTCACGCACAACAGCCCGTGCGAGATCCGCGAAATCCAATGGGCTAGTTGTATCCTGAGGAGCTCGCCGCCCAGTAACCGGTGTATGAAGAACTGCCTCAGATCCTAAATCTACGACTATGACCGGTGGTACCTGAACAAATGCCTCCTCCCCAGGACCTGACCCCTGCACACACGGTCGAACTGGCCGCATCGTCGTCGTCATCTGCAAGCCCGTGAACGGTACCAACGAAATGCTACCTCCGGGGATATCCGCAGGGGGTGCATCCTCATGCTCCTCCTGTGGCTGCTCTACTACCTCCTCACACCCCTGCTGAAGCATGTTTGTCTCTCTCCCGGAGCGTCCTGCAAATGCCTGCTCGATCTCCTGTGTGGAGTACCCAACCGCCGCTAGGGCATGCGCCACATCCTCTCTCTGTGCGTGAGCAGGGGTGGGCGGATCCCCCAAAGATATGTCCATGAAATCCCCCATCCCCAGCCCTGACGCCCCCCTCTGTCCTGATGGCGATGCCCCCAGTGCCCTCCTCGTGCCCGGGGTCTAACCAGCTAGTGCGGGACCCATCTCGTCATCGACGAAACGCTGGACAATCGGGTCAAGGTCGCCGCCTCCCTCTCCTGTACCATGGGCGACGTCCCCCCCTACCACACCCTCCTCTCCCCCAACCAACGCAGCAGCATCTGCCCTCACCACATCCTCCTCCATCTCAACCTGGGCAGCACCATCATCTACTCCTGCCACGCTCTCGTCTACCCCTGCCACAGCCTCCTCTCCCTCATCGTCCCTCATCATCGCCTCCTGCGTCCTCACCACATCGTCCTCTCTCTCAACCTCCGATGGCAGCACGCCCTCCACTCCCTCAACCTGCTCACCATCATCAACCATCGCCATGGCCTCCTCTCTCCCGGCGTGCACACCATCATCTACCTCCACCACGCCCCCCACTACTCCAGCTACCTCCTCCTCCATACCCCGAATACCCTCAACTCCGCCCGCTCCGGCGGCTCCGTGCTCCTCCGCTCGTCTCTCCTTCTCCTCCACCGGTGGTGCCCCGCTATGAACACCCATCTCCCCCAAGTTGCTCGATGCACGCGGGTCCAAGACGAGCGGACGGGCTACGCTAAACAATGATCCATGTCCGTGGATGCGCAACGAGGATCCCAAGTCCTCCCTCCCAACCGGTGCAGGTGAGCGCTCGTCATGCCAAACGGGAACGGGCAGAGCGGATGCTAAGAATCCTGGGATAGAATGACCAGAAAGAGGCAACGGGGACGAGGGTCCGGACTGCGTAGCGGGAATACTCGTCTGCTCTCGCGTGGTTGTGGGAGCAGGCGTCTGCTCCTACGCGGTTGACGAAACAGTCGTCCGCTCCCGCACTGTCGTGGCAGGACCCGGCTCCTCACTCACAGTCATGGGAGCAGGCGTCTCCTCCCGCAAGGTTGTGCAAGGATGCGTATCCTCCCGCGCGGCAGTGGGTGATCTCTCCTTTGTGCCCCCGAAAGATCCCCGAAACTCATCGCCCCCTATCATATCCATGTCTCGCTGGTCTGCCGCCCTCCGCGCGGTGTGCGTCCTCTTGTCACGCACGTTGCCCCGCTCATGCAACTCATCAATCTCGCTCGAGATGGGAAGCATCGGGTCGTCCGCTGCTTCCGACTCCCTCTCGTCCGCAGAGTCATCGTCCCTGGGGTATGGGCGGAAGATAGTCGCACGAGCACCGAAAACAGACTCAACAGGGGGCGGCGCAGAAGACCCAATGGGATCACGCGCAATGAGGGCAGCCTACTCCTCGATCTCCTCCTCCGTCATCCCACTCCTCGTCCCCAAGCGCACAGGCTCCACGTCCAATCCCGCCTAAGCGTCAAGCATGCCCTCGTCTCGCTGCCAAGGGAGGACGTATCCACAACCTGCACGTCTATACTCCATCAACCGCACATTTGCGGTGATCTCAACAAGATGAACGACCTTCTCGAAGGCCAACTGATTACGCTTCTTCGTATGGATTCCCTCGTGGACCGCCCAGTTCCTCTCCGCTCGAGAGGCGCAGGACCATATGTGCATCAAACGAAGATCGCAATGCTGTAAATCGGGTGCGTCTCCCCCGTACTGAGACCACCACGACGCACACTCCAACGTCTCGCAGTCTTCGCAACAACTACGCGCTCGAGCACGGCCCTCTGCCCCGCCCCAAGACCCATACCTACCCTGCTGCATGTGAAAGTCCTTGAACTGCCGACATACCTCAAGGGAACGACCACTTGACTCGTCGTGACCCATCTGAGACAACAGATACCTCTTGGCTTGTCGAACAAGCCAAGTGTGGTACCGGTCAAGCTGCGCGGAGAAGTACTGAACATCCCGGCGACGGGGGCTCAGTAAGAACGTGGCGCAGTGTGCGGGCTCCAGCATGTGCTATATACGGGCCTGCACACGCCTCATGATACGGTCAGAAAAGGACTGGCCAAGAGGAATGCAAGCGTCCCGCACAAGGCGTGCAAGATCCCGAGTCCACTCTACAACGAGGGACATGAACTGTCCGCCATGGTCCATCCGCCTCAGCAAGTCTATGACAGGATCTATGACGTGCTTGATGGCACGCACCCTCTCTCACCAAGAGGACCACCTGATCTGTCGGCGCACCCAACGCGCCATGTCGCGAACGTCGGGGGACCACGGGATCCTAGCCCATGCCCGACCATCCTCCGCTGTCATCATGCCCTGCAAACGATCCTGCAGAGCGAGCAGCCTCTCCAACATGGAGTGCACGGATACAAAGCGCGTTTCGCATGAAAGCACGTGACCCAACGCCGCGCTCCGCTTCCGAAAGAAGCTGAGAGCCGCCTGGTGGGTTTTGAAAAACACCACCAGATTTCGGGCACGCGTGATCGTGTCCACGAAAGAGGTGCAGATCGTGCCAATGTCTGACAATAACTTGTTGCAGACATGGAAGCAACAAGGGAGCCAAGTGATCCTCCTCAGCTCAGAGGGCATAGATGGCGAGGCCAAAGCCCTCGCAGCCCCCACGTATGCAGAGGCGGAGTTAGTGCATATAGCATTGACCCGCTGTGGGCCACGAAATCTGAAAGCATGAAAGATGGCGACCCATCTTTGCAGGACGTGCACCGCATCGTTCGGCTCCCCCTCTCGGTTGATCATCGTGTACATGACGACCCCCCGAGACCCAGCTGCGAGGAAGTTCACGATCGGTCGCCCATCTCATGACTTCCTCCCGTTAGAGAGGAGGGTGGCGCCACTCACCCATAAGGGTTGCCTAACCTCCTCCAACTCCTCCGCCAACTGCTCGTGGTGGATCTCCACAGTTCGCATGTCTGCGATCTCGCTGTGGGATGGAAGCACGGGAAGAGGTACTCCACCAGGTTGCCGAAAAGCAACCTGCTGGAGGTCTCGGTATGGCGTGTTGCGGAAGGCATTCAAGGCAATCCCGCTGGAATACACCCTGCGAAAGAATGCCATCCTCCACTCACTAATCCACTCGCCACCATACGTGTCCGTCATTTTCTGTTGTCGCAACCTCTTCCCTGCACTGGTGCCAGAAAGTTGTGCACCCCCTTCCTTCCTCTTCGAAGAACCTGGCGTGCTTGCTCTATCAGGAACAGCACTCTTCGAAGAACTCGGCGTGCATGTCGTCTCAGGCGGGACGGCCTTCTTCCCGCACTTCCGTTCCCAGTCCACCGCCCTCTGATGAGCCGTCAGATCGGACTTCGGCACGCCCCCCTCTCCCCTCGGTGTTCGCTCCCCCTCGGCCACGCCAACCTCTAGGTCAACGTCTGCCTCGTCCTCCTCCGCGGCACCCGCACCCTCCCCATATCTCGCAACACCTCCCTCCGCATAATGCTCGGTATCCTCTCCCTCGCCCACACCCTGTGCAGGACGCTCTGCCTTGCCACCCATCGCACCCGACCGCGGGACATCGAGACCACGCTCGTGTACGAACCGCCGCACCCTCTGTACCTGATCGGCCTCGAAGCGGTGTGTGCATTTCTGCGCAATCTGGTACAATGCATCATCGGACACCTTCTTACAATAATACTGCTGGGTGAAGTGTTTTGTTGTGTAGAATTGGGTTCCCTGAAACACCTTATTGCAGAAGGTGCACCGTAGCATATTAACCCCCTGTTGTCGACCTTCAGACCGACAATAATGTAACGGTACACAGCAGATTTGCGCCTAGAATTCTGCTGCACATGTTCGGGCGCAGGCTCATGTTCGCGCGTCTGTTTTCGCGGCATTGTGAACCCCCCTCAAAGTCGCGCCCGTCCAGTCGTAAGCGCCTCCCCTCCGACACCTCGTGGCCAGCAGCGCCACAGAGAAGCCAGTATCCCCGGCCTGCCCAGTCCCAACACTGTAACACCCGCCTCTTTTCTCCCACTGCCAAGCCTGCGAACAGCCGGCGACCCCCCGCAATCGTCGCACACCCGTCGCCCCCGGCGAAAACCCATCAACCCCGTTCAACTTCTGTTGAAACCCCATTGAAACCCCGTCGAAACCCCGTTGAAACCCCGTTGAGACCCCGTTGAACAGCCGTTGAAAACCCGTCAAACTCCTGTCTGACCCTCGTCCTGCAGGTTCCGTGGGGGACCGTCGGCGCCGCTGATCGGTAGGGGATGACGCCAGCACCGACACAAAATAAAACAATCAATCAATCAAACAATCAATCAAGCAAGCAAGCAAATCGGCCAAACCATCAATCAATCAAACCATCAAACCAACAATCAATCCATCAATCAATTCATCAATCAATCAATCAATCAATCAATCAATCAATCAATCAATCAATAGATCAATAGATCAATCAATCAATCAATCAAGATTGATTGATTGATTGATTTTGTATTTTTTATGTTTTTTTTTTTCATTTTTATTTCTCATGTGTGTGTGTGTGTATGTGTGTGTGTGTGTATGTGTGTGTGTGTGTGTGTGTGTGTGGTTGAGAGAGAGAGAGGG